TTCACCCCTGAAAAACCTACCCCGCGCCTTTGCGCTTTTCGCGGCCCCCCTGAAGCAAAACGAAAAACTAGGCTTCCGCCCCCCCCCCCCCCCCTGCTCTGGTACCTTAGTTACGCCCCTGAGAACAAAAATACTAAATACATACTATTTCATATTCAAGATAATATAAATTTAAATCAGATTCAAGACGAAATATTTGAGCTGATATAGAAAATGTTTGAAGACCAAATGTAATTATATCATGTTCAGTTTGACGTGATTGTGCCATAACATATTCAAGTGAACCAATTAAATTATTTTTACCAAAATAAAAACCATTAGGTACTATTTTTAAAAACAAAAACTTCATTCAAATTAATTTTGAAGAAAAAAAAAAAAAATTTTTATTAACATACATTTATCACAACGTTCACCTATATAAGCTGTTTCAATACAATCACATTGAGGTCCATCATCATTATCATTTGTTAAACATATACCAGAATGAATACATGTAAAATCATAACAAAGTTTATTTAAATCTATATGAAAAAAAAAAAAAAAAATTTGAATTAGAATTCAATAGAGACATTTTTTTTTTTTTTTGTTTTCTGCTAATTAATCACGAACAGAACAAGAACATAAGATGGACTACAAACAATTGCTTACCATTATTTTCATTTGATGTTATATCTGAAAAATCTACTGAAGTTTTCTCCTCGTTTATTAAAATTAAAAGAGAAAACAAAAAAAAAAATAATATTTAAAATATTATTTACCTGAACAAATATTCATATTAATTTTTCCATGAAGTACTAATGCTGTTTGATAATCAAGTAAACGACCATCAACAATAAAACTTGATAAACAACCTTGAAATCCATAAGAATTAAGACCAGAATCTGTTAAATTAATTTGATTACTATTTGGTATTCCACCAATATAAAGTACAGGTTGAAGTGAAACAGCATTTCGAATACCATTACCTGATAATGTTGAACGATTTACACGATTATCAACAACTAATTCGATTCTAAAAAATAAATATTATATCAATAATATTTTTAGATAAAATTGATAGTACTCGTTCTTTATATCAATCAATAAAAAAAAAAAAGAAAAAAAGTCATATATAATAAACAGTAACATCCACATCCTGTCGTTTTTTGTAGCGAATCAACAGCAATTTTCAAATTTAGCAAGATTTTTCAAGCAGAAAATTACGTACTCTATGAAGTACAGTGGAATTACGAATTCTATAGTGAGAGTGGAGTGGAAGTATGTGGAGGATAACGACGTTGTTTTTCCACAGGCTTGGACTCAGGCGCGTACCCAGAATTTTTGGCTATGGTAGATCTCAGTTTCAGAGCATGGGACCCAGATGAAACTTATGGAGGCTGATATTGGACCCAAATGATGAGTTTATATGAAACAATTTTTGCGATCGGAGTTTGCGAAAAAAAATTATTTTTTTTTTCGGCCCCCCCTAAAAACTTTTTTGCTTTTAGTAGGATTCTGTTTCTTAGAGTTTGATCGCAATCTACATCGAATTTCATCGATAGATTTAAAATTTCATCTAAAAATCTGCAGCCGTTCCGAAGTTATAACGTTTTGAATTTTTATGAAAATTTTTGCGCCATTTTGCAAAAATTTAAAACGTTATAACGTTTGAACGGCTGCATATTTTTAGATGAAATTTTAAATCTGTCGATGAAATTCGATGTAGATTGCGATCAAACTCTAAGAAACAGAATACTACTAAAAGCAACAAATTTTTTAGGGGGGGCCCAAAAAAAATAATTTTTTTTTTGCAAACTCCAATCGCAAAAATTGTTTCATATAAACTCATCATTTCCCAGTCGGACAAAAATTTTGAAAAACGCGTTTAAACGTACAATCGGGAACCGCGATTGTAAGCCATTAACGCTCATTAAAAGAACGCACGAAAACGTGTTTGTTGGCGTTTTTTGTAACTTTATGGGCGTTAAAACGGCGAAAACTCCAATTTTGGAGCGTTAAAACGTATTATTTTTAAGTTCTAGAATAATAGTGCGTTTTTTTAATGAGCGTTTATGGCTTACAATCGCGGTTCCCGATTGTGCGTTTAAACGCGTTTTTCAAAGTTTTTGTTTGACTGGGTATCAGCCTCCATAAGTTTCATCTGGGTTCCATGCTCTGAAACTGAGATCCACCAAACCCAAAAATTCTGGGTACGCGCCTGATTGGACTCCATGTAGTCCTTTATTCTGAGAGTACAGAATTACGTCATTTCCTTCTATTTGAAATTTTCTCGTGAGTCGATAATGTAAAACTATACATCGCTTGACATAATATCTTAAGAAATATGTACCTATTGAAGTTTCTATTTCTAATAAGATATTTTTTATACGTTAGTCTATGAAAAATACATATGAAATATATAATAATTATCTTACTTATCAGTACCAATTTTTGTTACTCGTACTTCATGCCATTTTCCATCTGCTAATTTTGTTGATTCATCACTAACTATTTGTCGTTTACCAAAACCAAAATCCATAAATAATGTTAATATTCCAGCTCTTAAACCAATAGCAAAATATTCATTTAAACCTTGTGCATAACGATATAAAATAATTCCATCTGGTACATAAGAACGAAATAAAAAATAAATATCAAGTTTTCCATGATTTTTATTTTGACTTTCACGTTCAGAAAAAGCTATATGTGATGTTTGTGTTTCAATAGTAACTAAATTAAAAAATGCTATACGATAACCAACTATAATATGATGACTATAATAATGAAATGATGATTGAATTGATTGTTTTCGTGTTGTTAAACTTGTAAATAAATATTCATTATTAAATATAAGATCACTCATATAACCAATAAATGGTTGAAATATATCTGTATTTAAACGACGTGTATCACCAACTAATAATGCATTTATATTCCAACTTGATACAACATAACTAGGAATTTGTGCTAAAAAAAATAAAATAAAATAAATTTTTTTTTTTTATTTTAAATTTTTACATGTTCGTATATCATCATCAACAACAATTTGAAGTACTCCATTTAGATCAATTTCAAATTGTAATTTATGCCAATTATCATTGTTTACATTTTTACCACATTGAACAGTCTAGAAATAATATCGATTATAATAATATTTAAAAAAAAAAGAAAGGGTTTCTGAAGTTTGATAATGAGATTTTATATTATATCATAATAAAGTCATGATAAATGATATTCTACATAGATCAACCAAGCTCTATCTTATAACATAGTTGTAAAAATGATAGCTAAAAATAATTTTATCTCACATGATCCAAATCTCAAAGGGTTTGATAAGATAATCTGATATCAACAATGATCTAATTTATTAAAAATACGATACTACAAATAAAAACAGATTTTGGGATTTGGGAATACATTTGTAGTCTTTGGATTTCGATTGTGTCTTGAACAAAAATAATATAAATAGTTTATGTTTGGATAATGGTCATTAAAATGGTAAAATATTCATGTGGCTTTCGTTTATAAGAAAACTCATGCTACAAAGTTTAAAGAAAAAAATATATATATATCACTCATTACGGATGCAACTTTATTGTTTAATGTTTCATGTATTAAATAAAACAGAATAGTTATTGTCCCATAGTATAATTATTAAACTTTGCTATTTCAACCTCAAATAGTATCTACATTTTTCAAGCCTAACTAAAGATTCGTATCGGATCATTTCCAGGTGTTTTATTGCTGAGAACTATTAAAAACTAGTTCCAAAGAAAGAAGCAATTGCCCCAGTAGCCCTCCTATAAACTCAAGACTGCTCAGCACAATCCTAATATTGTGCCATAACCTAGATATATGATTTATTAACTTAAAGATTAGTTTGAAAAAAACTTTTCCTAATAATTGATCGCTAGATATACAATTATATATATGATTAACTTATTTTTTCAATTGTTTTGATTTCGATAGTTTTTTCAAAAATGATTGGAGAGTAACACACAGTATTGTATAGAGAAAAATAAGAAACTTGATTAAAAGTGACTAGCTTTATAATTATCTTGTTTTCTTCTATGAGATTAGTTATAATGTAAGGTTAAACTAATGAGGAATATAAAAGTTTCTGAACAAAATTTAAAAATAGAATGTTGTGCTCTTTCAGGATATATATGAAACTCATAGTTTAGGGATTGTGTACTATTTTCTTTATAAAGACATTCAGTCTAGCTTAGTCTCATTGACTTTTGTTTGACTTCATCACATTATGAAAGTTCTATCAATCAAAGCATGAATGCCCTTATTGAATACCTTCTATTACCAATTTTATTGCATAGTGTAAAGAATAATGTGTTATATTTTTATTTCTATAGACGTGACACTAATCAAGTTTTTGTTTTGTTTTTATTTTTCAACAAGAAAAACAAAATATCAACTATGAACAAAGTCCGATTCAGTTATAGTTCATGAAATTAAAGTAAGATGATAAGACTTCATTTATCTTCATGATTAATCATTTAAAGGATTAATTTTCAATCGGGTCATTGATTGAGCAGAATCCATATATAATAATGAATATAAGTTCTTTCAGAAGATCTCAGCTGAAATACACTCAAGAATTTTGAGAACTTATGTGCATATACTTCATCAAGAATGTAGGTCAAAAACATGAGATCACTCTAATAGCTTGAACGCAACAGAAATTATGATGCACGACGCTTATTTTTGCTTGAAAATTTTGAACTTGAAAAAGCTCTCTATTTAATTTGATGCTATGATTTGTCAAATACATAACTAATTCTTAATATTTTTATTTGCATCTAAAGCTCTCTATATAATCTTTCTTCATTCAAAAGATCATATAATTTGCTTTCTTTGAATGTCTTCAAGCCTTCAGTATTAACACAATGATTATTCACACTCCATTGCCCTTTAGAAAAGTGATCTGTTCTGAGATTTGTACGCGATAATGTTCAACTGTCAACAAAGTTTATTCGAATAGTCACAGTTAAATAGTTACTATTCTAGCAAGAGCTTATTGACTTCGATAAAGTTGATAATGTAAATAGCTAGAATATAACCATAACTAATGAGAGATCAGTTTTAGTTTTACAAGCACAAAGTTCAAAGGAACTTATATTCTTGCTAGATTATGTGCATAGAAATTTCCGAACCTCTAGCGCCTATAGTAGCTGTAATCCGACTGCAACCAAAATGACATGTCAACGATTATTTTGAACTACTTTGAATTCCCCTGCGAGAATACAACCGATCGGATTCAAACTTTTACTACAGCTCGATAGTCTAGCTGTAGCAAAGCCATCAAAATAAACAACATAAGTTTTTTCCTTATAGATTTAGAACATGCTTATGTATTATAAATATTGTTAACTTTGTTCTTGTTTTTTTTTTTATTATACAATTTATTTTCTTTGATATTAAATATAATTGTAAATAATAATATTAGAAGTGATATGAGAAAATCATCGAATAATATCGAATCAGAATTTTAAACATTAACTATATTTATTTGTTTATATCAATTAAAATTCAATATTCATAGAACAATTTCTTTTTCTTTTTTTTTCATATTCTTTAATTGAGAGAAAAAAAATCTATCTTATATATAATAAAATTATTTTGTTAATCGCCATATTTTTCTTTCTTTCGTCATTCTATTGATTATTAACAAAGAAAACGAAAACAACAAATAAACTTAATTTTGATTTTCTTTCTATATTTTCATAGAACACAATTATATCTTTAACGGAACATGCAAATATTTAATAGAATGTAAACAGAAATTCATCCGATAGTTGTCTGCCAATTGCATCCGGATGCAAAAGTAATTTTAGTTTGCTTTAGTTTTTCGGCTATCGATATATATTCCGAGTAATTTAATTTTATTTCCTTTATATACGCTCGTTTAGACAGCAATGTACTAAGTTTGATTTAAGATACATTTAGACTAGTGCATCGATCGATACGAAAAAAAAAAAACGATGACCTTGGAGACAGGAAAAAATAAAACACTTCATTTTATTTGTCCGTGCGCGCATCTTCACTAGTTCGACACGAAAGACACACACATAACTATACACAAGAAGAAGAAAAAAAAAACGAAGAGAAAAATATCATTATTAGTTTTTGCTTCTATATTTTTTTTTTTTCTACGCTCTATATCTAGTGTGAGATGGATTGCTAATCAGAATAGCAATAAGACGATGTTTTAAAGAAGAAGAAGAAGACCGAGAAAATCGAGTTTCGAGAGAGAAAATGTAAATTGCTCTATACCATGGCTTTTGTTGTCTTGTTAGTTGATGCGTAAACGTAAAGAACATCGAAATTAATGAGAAAAAAGATTAATGTTTTCTGTCGGAAGTGGTGGAAGATTGGAAGACAGATGAACAGATTGCTTAGATCTTCTTCGCCTTTTTTTTTTTCATTACATAAAAAAAAAAAATACTAACAACTTTCAAAAGGTGACACGAAACCTTGACAATTGACAAAGTATAATCAAAGAAAGCTAATATTTCTACTTACAGTGACAGACGATAATGCATTTCTTTGATCTAATTGAAGAATAGTGATTTCGATTTTTCCATTTGTATGTTCAATTATAATAAATGGTAATATTGATGTTGTAGATTTACAAGTTAAAGAAAGTAAAACACCATTTGAGATTCTACCTAATGTACGAAAACGTATTGATAAACGTAAAGGATAAGCAAGTGTATCTTTATGACGATAATCAATAAATGATGATGAATTAAACGTAATTACTATTGATGATGTTGATCCTAATCAAAGAAAAACAATTGTTTAAGTTCTTATAATTAAACTTTTCTTTTTTTTTCTTCCAGTTCATTAATCAAGATTAGTTAAATATTTCTGGAGGGATTAACATTTATTATGCATCAATGATTATTTTCATCATTAATTATGTTTGTTCAATATAAGAAAAATAACTGATATGATAAATTATATTTCATCATTTAAATAGTTAATGAAAAACAAAAAATATTCGAAACTTATATTCTTAATTAGGTGATCATTGATAGAAAAAAAAACAAAAGACATATCTACCTGATCGATCATATTGTCGTGTATTACGCTTGACAAATTCTTTTTCTATATAACAATTTTTTGTTGATATATTTTTTGTATTTATTATTCCATTGTTTGATATTGATGAAAATAATATTTTTCCATTATGTTGATCATGATTAATTAAAAGTTTAAATTTTGATGAGAAAAATAATTGAAAACTATCATTATTTCGTTTTAATTTAATATGATGATGATAATAATCACTATTAGTAAGTGTCAAATGACATTGTCCAATTATATAACATCGATTTGAAATTGGTATTGTTTTATTATTAGTAGATATAATAAGATGTGTTGAAAGTTTTTGACATAACTAAACAAAATATTATTTATTATTTTATAATAAATATGACAATCAACATGACGAAACAAAGTAATACAATTATTATAGTAAAAAATTTTGTATTTTTACTATCATATATTTGAGTAGTTAATTTAGATGTCTCGTTCTTTATTCACGGTAATTATCAGTAGTATAAAGTGCAAGTATCAATGCATACTACCGGTGAGATGATTAACGTTTTTCTTTTTTCTCTTGACATATGATTGTATGAACTTATGACTAAGCATACTTGACATTCGTCTGAGAATGTATCGATTTATTCATTCGAAAGAATAATGATCATAAAAACAATCAATTCTTCATTAAACATTAAAGAATATTTTAGTTTGACAACATTTCACATTAGTTAAACAGTTCATATATTGCTTTAAGCATATATTGGAATAACAATTATTAAAATGAACTTTTTTTCTTGTGAAAAGAGACAGATGAAAACATAATTATGTTAAATTGTACATTTTAATATTTAATGGACATATATTGACTAAGATTACTTTTAAGTATCATCTATTGATCAGCAATGAGTAATGTGTTGTCTATTCACACAATGACAAATGCTAGCGGACATATCTTCTCGACATGTGTCTATACCATTGAACAACTCAGAAAAGAGAAAAATGGTCAAGACAGTGTAGACTATTACGAGAGAAGAATAACCGATGACAAATCTTTAACTTTTTTTTACACATATACAAAAAACCTATTTATTATATTTGACAATAAAATTATTCATTTATATTTACCTGTATACTTTGACCATATAAGATAAAAATAAGCACCAATAGAAACACAATATTATTGTTTTGCATTTTTTTATTTTTGTTTATAATTTTAACATGTTATTTTCGATAAATTTTTACATGTCTAATTTTCTAAATATCTAAGGAAGAAAATAATATATCTAAAGATTGATTTATATATATAGAGATAGATTCAAGTGTATTTACTTAGAGTTGGGCTTAATATTGTAATAACAGTAGTAGTAGATCGATCATCGAAAAGAAAACTGACAATAGCATATTTGACAGATCTACACTAAGAATGCTTCTTTCTTCCTTTCGCTTCTCTCTCTCTCTCTCTCTCAATCTTAACTATATCTTTCTAATGGTTGTATCTATATGTTATCGGGTGGAACTGACGAAAAGAGCTTCCTCATCTTTTTGGCATCAACGTAGACACACACATTCAGAAGAAGAAAAAAAGAAACAGAAAGCAAGTAAACTTTCTGAACATTTTTTTTCTCTTTCTTCATCATTTTTTTTTTCCTTTCTCACTTAGTTGCTTCTGTGATACTGTTACTACTGTATGTAAAACAAGATATAAACAATGGTTAACTATCGAAAAATAAATGATGATAATAATCGCAGCTATTTAATCGAATGACAATACACTTATGTTCTATAAAAACTCGATCGATTAAGACAAAGTTTATTATCTCACAAGTTCATAGAAGTGTGTCTTTAATCAAGATACAAAAACGAGAGAGAGAGAGAGAGAGAGACAAAATCATCTACATATTGCACGTCTATCTATCATTATTTTTCTCATCTTTCTCTCCCTCTCTCTCTCTCTTTCTGTTGCTAATAGTAAATGTATATGTATGTGTGTGTGTGTAAAAATAAAGTGAAGACAAAGGCTCAAGATTGTTTTAGAGGTAGAGCCAGATTAAATGATAAATAGAGTCTCTCCTTCTTTCGTAAGAAAAATAACAATAGTAATATTGATACAGGTCAAATGAATGAATGAATGACCAACCCACAAATCTAATTCTATTTGATGTGTATAAAATAGATTTCGTTTATCTTCTATACGAAATTTCGATTGTCCGACCTGATATTTATAATGATCAATCTTTACTTTTAAGTCAAAAGATTCATAAATAAATGAAATCGATTAATAACAGGTGGTAATACGTCGTTCTACTATGATAAATGTGAAAAGAAACAATGTTATTAAAACACATATACACACTTTCTTTTTCCTTTTTTTTTTTTTTTTTTCTTTTTTGTTATGTTTGATATTATTCGAACATTCAACTAGCCCCGCGGGGAACTACATCCTGTTTCAACGCCAATTATCAATTGCGTGCTGCAAGGCGAATAAAAGAAGAATAATGCGTGTGGCGATCAATTCGATTAATGTGTCAATACATCTCACGTTGTTAGTTTCATAAAAACTTTCTTCAATTTTTTCTCATTAAAATCAATCAAACATAATAAAATTTTTAACATATATACAAAAAAAAAAAAATATGATTTAACTATAAAAAATGCCAACAATAAATAACTCAATAGGAGATCATCAATTGTTTTTTTTACATGTGGCGAACTATATCACAAAATATCGGAAGTGTAAAAAAGTTCTCAAGAGAATAATAATAAATGACTGACCAATACAGTCCTTTTTCTAATAGACATTCAAATTAAGGATCAACTTACGATGAAATAAGAAGGAGAAAAGAAGAAACAGTTTTGTTTGCTATACATCAATGATGGTTGCTTTCCTTCCGTCCACATACAAATTACATTGAATGTTATATAACACATGAAGAGAAAAAAGAAAAAGAAACTAGAAAAAGAACTTGATTTAAGAAAAGTGTCATTTACTATCTATCTATCTATTTACAAAAATTCTTTATATTAATTGATCGATTGAGAAATACTTGAGAATCAATAGAAATGATAGTCCAAGAAAAAATGAAGATACATTGTATATTCTCATACGGATATATATATATTGATAAATTTGATTGATAGTAACACGTATAATGAAAAATGAAGAACAAGCTTTCTTTCTTTCTTTTTTTTTTTATTTTTATGTCATTGTTGTTCGTGTTCTTTTTCTTCATTCAATGATGAGAAAAAGAATCTTACATAAACAAAGTGACAAGTTAATATTCTCCTTTTTCTCATATCATTTAATACCCCATGTGTCAGTCGTTTTTGTTGTCTCATGCAATGAACATACATATCTTATTGACATCGTGTTTTTTTTTTACATTAGTCAATAAATGCTTATTAGTTACGGTCACTGTCTACGAGCAATAACTAACTTACTCAACTTCCGAAAAACTTGATAGATGTTAGACAAGCAACAAAAAAAATAAAATGAAAAGAAAGAATCCGATAAAAAAAGAAAGCATAACTTCACATCATTAAATAGTAGTAGTAGTAGTGTTTAGATCAAGTTTTACTTTTTTCTTATGTTGATTATTATATTGAACAAAAGTGACAACGAAAAAGAATAATTCATAATCAAAAACGAGAATACAAGTGATCTAAATGATGATTGAACTAACAAACATATGCATAGATCGTGTACATTCAAAAGATGATCAGAACGGATATTGAACATGATAAAGAGAAAAAAGCTGTAAGTATGAATCTCATCATGAAAAGATGAAGAACGATAGGAGAAGGAAGAAATAAAATGCCTTGGCGCGTGCAATCTACATTCATTACGCTTGTTTGTACATGATGATCGAATAGAAAAGTGATGCTCAGATAGCCTTCAAAGCAATTCATTCATTATTCGCTCTCTCTCTCTTTTTTTCGACTTGTATGTCTTGTCACGAGAAGTGTAAGATGAAGAGCCTGAAGGAACTCAATTGGCAGAATGACTAGAACGATGTAACAATGAAATCATCTTATTATTATTCAGAACTCAAATAATAATGCTATGTCGGTTACTCCTTCTTGTTCATTTTGTTCTTCTTATCTTACTGAATACTTGATGTATCCTTGAAAATTACGCATATACTCTTCGAGAAAATATATTCATAATGTTAATTGTAATCAGAATATGTAACTAATAATTTTCGATAGAAGACAATCAACTATGGAAGATGAAGAAGAAAAAAAAAGGAAACATCTGCATATGATTGTTTGAATTGAACGACAAATGATATTTTCTTATCAAAAATCAATGTCATACAGTATTAACGGAATATAAAATAAATCAATTTTTTTTAAAATTTTATTCATGTTTACATGAACCATCTTTTTATGTCATAAAAAAATCCGTATACAATCTATCAGATTTGTAATATGTGTTATATATATTCATTCGTAGTCACGTAATATAATCATAACAAACACATACGTCATTTTTAGAAAATTCTATTTCGAATATTGATATGATTTTATTCGAATGATACTTTTGTTTTTTTCTTTATAATTATTTAAAGCAAGAAAAAAAAATTCAGTTATAAATTCTATTCAAAAGAAAAATTTCATGATAATTAGTAAAAAATAATACAATAAAAATAAATGAAATTATTGGTGATGGAATTTGAGTATATTTTTTTTTTATTGACTTTCTTTATTTCTATGTTTATAACATAATGGATATTCAACTCTATGCAAGAGAATTAAAAATAATATATATGATTTTTTTTATTTCTTTTTTTTACCTTTCATTTTGTGTTAAAATTGCTTGTCGAGCATCTTCTCATTTATTGAATCCTTGTAAACGATATCGATACGGAGTACAAGGACCAAAAAGTAACAACCAACCAAGTTCAAAAATCATTTAAAAGATACAATACTGAAAATAAAAAGATTTTACATATGTTTTTTTTTTTATAATAGCTATGATATATTTTTCATCTCACATATATTTGGTCGACAACCAACTTCATCAGCTAGTTCATTATAATATTCTATATAGTCAACTTATATCGTATGCCGTGGTGATGTAACATATCGTTTAAACATTTGATCAAGACGTGCGTGAATATCTTCATCCATTTTCAAACGTGAAAATAATTTTAATTCACTCTTGAATATACGAACAGCCTAACATGCTTGTAATTCTGTCATAAGATTAATAGCACCTCATGGTTTAATTAAACCAATGTCAGCAAGTGTTGAATGAATTAAATGACATGGCCAAACAAATTTATAAAGTCAAACCTATAAATTAATATATTAAACATTTTTTTTTTTTTTTCTTATTTATTTTATTATCTTTGATAGATAGAATAGAATTCATTTAAATAAGGAAATGATATATTAAAACCAGTTGCCATAAGAACACAATCGATATGATCAATTCGTATACCATCATCGAATATTACATCATGACCATCAGATGTAAACTCTTTTACATTTAGCTTAATTATCACTGAGTCAGTTATGATTCGATTTGGTAAATTATCATTAATAAATGGATGTTGTTCTAGAATAGAATATCTAAATTAGTAAATCTATCATGACAAAAATAGACAATATTTACGTAAAGGATGATGATTCGGTTTGAGACTATATAATTCATGATTAAATTTTTTGTTTAGTTCTCGCTCGATTAATCAATTCATTAGCCAAGGAGAATATTTTTTTGAATTGTTGCAAGGACTGAATTTGTTCGATACATATCCGTTGGCCATCCAGTAGGTCGAAGTCGATTATAAACCTATGTACCACGACGAGTACTTAGATAGACTTAATATTTCATTATAATAAATACAATTATAAAGAAAAAAAAAAGAATATCATTATTAATACTTGTTTAGCAACATGTCCTAATTCTACAGCCATATCATCTGCTGAACTTCCAATACCAATGATAAGAACTGTTTTATCTTCATAACCATGATATGTCTTGTACTGCCAACTATGTAGTTTTTCACCTTAAACAACGCATTCATATTTCATTTTGCAGAAACTTTGATAATAGATTATAGATTTTTCTTATGCCATCATTTTTTTTATACTTTGTGAAAAATGACAAAAACTTGCCGTTAAACTTATCTAAACCAGAAAATATTGGTAATCTTGGATATGCATGATGTCGAGTAGCTAACATCACTGAAAATATGATAATAATTTTGCATTATGCATATAATTTGAATAATCAGCTGATGGTGGAAAATCATTAAAAGCCATAAATTCTTTTGATGTATTGACTTCAGTTGATTTCATAACACTTGCTTTTCCATCAATAGCATTTGCATCATAATTCCATAATCCACCAATATCATTAGTCATTTCATAACATGTTGGTAATAGATCATCATCTAAACAACATTTTATGGATATTAAACCACTAACATCACCACCAATAATAGCTACAGTTTGTATTCTGAAGCATATGAAAATATGCATAAGTATATTTATATATCAATGTTTCGATCTTCCCTTCTAGCAAATAAACACTTCACAAGAATCATATTCTCAATGAATTTTTTGTTTTTTTTTTGGTCCTATGTATACTTTACAATTACAATTTTCTTCTATCGTTTTTTTTATTTCTCCTCTTATCACGTTGTTTTATTTTGATTGACTGGAAAATTTACAAATAATTGTCATGGAAGAAATTAGATATTCAATTGAGATAAGCAAAATGCGAAAAATGAAGATAATGATCATTAATTTGAGTCAATCGATTATTAATCGTTCTATTGAATAACGATTAGATTTCTTTTAGTTTCAAAAGAAAAATTCTTGATATTCACTAATTTTTCGATGCACAAGAGCTTGTTGCTTATAAAAATAAATGAATAGTTGGTAAAAAGTCTTCACAAACGCGAGTTTTTTTTTCAACTATATAAACTAGAGAATAGAACAAAGTCATCGAGTACGTAAAATAAAAATTAAAGTTAATAAATAAAGTCTAATGACTTGAGTTGGAATTCTGGCTGGTTAATTTGAATTTCTTGTCTCCGAAGCCCATTAATATACGCACTTACAAAAGTGCTTATCTATTAAAAAAATATTGTGCTATTGTCATCTATGCAAAGCAAACTTCAGTAATAGTAACTTCATTAAGAAATTTGTGTACTGACATTCCTATATTTATAGATAGGGAACAATCGACTTATCTTTTTATAATTCATCATAACGTCTCTATACAAGTGAATGACAAGGATTTTATGTTTGCGATGAATCACACTATTGATAATAGGCCGCAATAACCATTGTATCAAGATGATGTTGGCTTATGGAAAGTTTTCGAGTAGTTTTTTGCATAAATTTGACTAAACACATCAAGAGATAATGAATCTGATAAAATTTTGTAGACTTTCTACATTGAATTTTTTTGAAATCTGATTACTGAAATTTCTATCAAATTTGAGAATAATCAACTTTCTATGTGAAATGTTCGACCTACAATCGAACAATGATCTAGAGAATAGTATCTATTTATATCAATTTTGAAGACAATGAGTCACAGAATGTTTGATAAACAATAGAAACAGTCATTATATTTGTGAATCATATTCATTTTTTTCTTTTAGACCTTGTGATAAGAAAGAAATCAAGTGCATTTCATCTGATGTTGACTCATCAGTCTATATAATCTTTTTCTTTCATATAGATCAATTAAGTTATTTATAGTTCTCCGAAAGAATTGATTTCAAAATTAATTTTATCAGTATGCTATGTCTATTTAAACAGATATATGAACATATTTATTGATTGAATTTTATGAAGAATGGTGAGTTTTTGACTTCGAATTTCCGCAACAATTTTAATAGTTTTTTTTTTTAAAGAAATTAAATAATTGATTAAAATATTAAAACAAAGATCAAGTTTTATGTAAAAGATAGTTCAAAGAAAGTGTACATAATTAATTTTGATAGTAAAGTGTCAGTACAGAGAAACAAACTTCATCTTCACCTGCACTAATATCCTTTCCACTGAGGTTTTACTCATAAGGTAAATATTTTAAAAACATAATTGTTGATGTCAATAAAGGATTGTAACCTTGACCAAATTATGAAATAACGAAATATTGCACAATTTTCCAAGATAATATGAGAAAGAAAAGTTGATAAAATAATTTTTTAAACAATTATAGTCAAAAAAAAAATTTGTGTCTTTTATTATTCATTAATCATGATAATACAAAACAATATTTTTAATATTTATCTTATGAATATCAACGATGGGCATTTCTCTTTATCAATCATAAAACGTTCAAACTGTTTTTTATTAAATTATTCTGATTATGTTCGATGTTCTATATTCAATAAAATATTTGCACACTTTCTATGCGAATTGGAATGACGTATGACAAAATGGTTCAAGATCTACCAAAAAAAAATTCATTTCATCCGAATGAGCGTTTGGTTTTGATGGTTGATAAAACGTATTCAATAAGATCTTAACTCTTTGGCGACGGAATTTCTTGAAAAAAAAAATTCTCTTTTTCTGTATATTTGATCATTAATCAATCTACATTTCTATTTTATAAAAACTCTTTATAAATACGTGTGTTTAGAAATTTTTCAAGGTGATGAGAGAGAGAGGAAAACAAATGTACCTTAATATACTAGAAAGACGATGTGTGCGTCTTCAGGCATGTCAACAGAATGGAAGAAAACATAAATGAAACGTACAAACGCGTGATGTTATACTATAACAGTAGCAAAAGAAAGGAAAGAAGAAAAAATAATTTACATGTTTAGCATCATCTAACATGTCCTTATAGTGATAGGAACGTTTCTTACAACGATTTTAGACTTTAACAAATTTTTCCGTAAAAGTCAGTTGCGCTATATTTATTATCCATCATTGATTATCAGAATAAAATAATCTAATTTTAACCCGAATTATACCCAAAAAGTCTCTGATAAATGCTTTCATGAAAATTAATATCATATACGTTTCTATGAGCATCAATATATCAAAACATTACTGTGACGTCTATTGGTGTCACCCGTCGCCGAAGGGTTAAAAGGATGTTTCGCTTGTTTTTCGAGTTTGATCCACACACTCATACTGCTAGATTGGAAATTTCTGTAATAAATATTTCGATAAAAAATTATTCACTTCCTTTCAATGCACTACACATTTAATAACACGATCGGATGACTAACATGATATGATGCAATAACAGTGTAATCGTTGGATATATAAATTAAAAAAACAACTGATTGATTCATTATTTTTCTNATGGATGAATTCAATTACTATATTTTTATTGCTGTATATCATTTTTATGATCAAATTCTATCATCAATTCTATTCTTTAGTCTAAGTTCACACGAAGGTCCCAAGCTATCGAAGGGAATTAATAAATATTCTCATGAAAATATTCCGAAAATTATTTTTAAATTGTTTGCCTTTTCGTTGAACATTCAGATAATATATTCCAATTCTTTAACGTAGAGTTATCCTGGACATATTTGACTTGAAAACGTTTCACTTCAATAATGCAGAACTTCAAAATTCAACATTTGAAGTATTTATTCGACCAATATATAATCTCATATATTTCCAAATTATTCGATCAATTTGACAAAATCATAGTATAGATGATTTGTACCATATAATTCCTCTATCAAAGAACTAAACTGACAACAGATTTAACTGTTTGATTGATTATCAACTTACAATTACACGACTAGATCAGAATGGTAGTTTGGACATCGATAGTTATAAAATCTATTCAGTTTCGTACACTTATATTTAATTTGAACTCACGGACGCAAAACGTTGACTTAACTTTATAAAAAAATGCAGCGGTGCTACACAACGTTCCATAAAGCATAATCCTATAGTAAATTCGAATAACAGTAGATGTTGTACTTCATGCTACAGCCGATGATCGCCTAATTTAATAACTCGTGTTTGTCTTTTATTGGGCTTTTTTTTTCTCTTGTACAGATATTATCTAGAAAAAGAATTAGTTTAAAACAGTGCTTTATAGTTATCATTGAAGAACTATCAAACATGTTCTATTTTCTATGTTCTCAAAAGCTTTTTTCTGCGATCGATATCGATCATGTCTTATGTAATGTTGAAATCGTTTGTATCTACAAACCGAGTTTAGTATGAATGATAATGCTGAAAACTATTCATTTGTCGAGTGTTGTTGACTATTTTTTGTGTAAAAAAACAACGGAATTCTTTTTCTATGTGGTGAATTCTTATTCACGAAAATAAAGATTAGATAAATTCTATGATTTGTGTAGACTTGTTTTGACTTTCATTTGAAAGAGAAAAGGTTTTGGTGTTCATTATCGATCAAGTATCTGATTGCTACTGTTACCACATCAAAGAAAGATCTTTTCCTTGATTCAGAATAAATAAAATGCGATTTAAATCCATGCCAAAAGTAGTTAGACAAAATGACTCCATCAGAATTTCGGAGATATATCAGGTCAACAAAGTCATCCAACCTGCAAAATTTCGAAGATCATGTTGCTAAGATTGCAGATCCGTCTGAGAATTTTTCAACCAACATACTTTTCTCTCATTTTAGTTCGTAGAGAAGCGTCTAATCTTTTCTTTTTATCTTCATTTTTCGTATTTTGAAATGATTCTTCAATAATGCTTTTTAACAAAAAATTGAGTATTATCTGTCCATATCTAACGTTACCCTCACAGGTATTAAATTGACTCATGTTATTAGAAATCGAATGAATAACATACAGGTATTTTTGTTGCATTTTTTTCTGCACTGAATCATTACTTTAAAATACTATAGTTTTCAATTTAGGCCTGCGCAATGTGTACGTTGAACATACAACACCGACAACTAGACAGACATTACTAGTAGCATGAACGGATTCAGTGTGGTAGTATCACATCAGTACTGTTCAAGTTAACATTAGAATGAATGTTGTTTTTGTATTGTATGTCTTGTTTCAATCTATTTTTTAATAGCTTATTAATTTTGTAGTTTGACGATAGAATATTTAATAAAGCATAAGTTATTTTTCTCCGCATCCATATATTCGTTCTTGCTTTCAGAGATACAATGTTCAATCCTGGTAAGCAATTAGTCCGATGAAAATTAATTAATATCTAAAAATTCTATAGTCATAATCAAATTAAAAACCAATTATAAGCGACACAAAATTTCGATTTTCATAGGCTTTCGTATTAATGTTAAATAAAATTCATGAAAAAAATGTAAACTGATGATATCTAGACACTTAAATTATAACCAAATAAAATTTTGTTTTAAGTTACACCGTAAAAAGAATCGAATGTATTTTTTTTTTATTTCAATGTATAGGGCTCTTAAAAAAGTCTAGTGTTCCTAGCTCTCGGTAAGAAAAAAATATGTGATTAAAAGAGAATATTGTAACGTGAAATGCAAACATATACTTTGACTGAAACTTTCAGCGCATTCATGTAGCAACACTGTACAG